CTACAATATCATGCACCCTTAAGAAAGTTAAGAAGAAAGACAATTATAACAGACCAGACATAACAAAACTCGCAGACTTAAACACCAAAGCCAAAGTGGCGATGGAAATGAATAAATGGGCAGTAGAGGCACAATCACGGGCAAGTAATTCACCGGAAACAACATGGAACTCATTGAAATCTAAAGTTCTAGATATTAATAAGGTATTTTTAAAGCGTGACTGGGTCCCTAAACAAGTTTGGATGACAGAAAAAATCTACAGACTCATGGAAGAACGACGACTTTACAAACATACGAACGCTAAAAAATATCAGGAACTACACAAAATAGTACGTAGAGAAGCTCGTTTTGCTCGTGATTCTTGGTACCGACGTAAATGCGAATGTCTCGAAAACCTGTATAATAAGCACGATGCATTTAACTTACACAAAGAAATCAAAACACTCACAGGTCAGAAATTACCCTCAAGTCAATTGGTGGACGAAAACCTAGTCCCAATTCTAGACATATCAAAGAAGAAACATCGCTGGGAACAATATATTGCATCTTTGTTTTCTGACAATGACCGTAGTGAAGAATTGCCGTACGTAACCACTGAGGGATACTCTATTTTACCAGACGAGGTAATGAAAGCTTTGCGTAAAGCCAAACATGGAAAGTCGCCGGGACCTGACAATATCAATATTGACATATTGAAGTTAATCGAGGAACAGAACATCGAAGTTCTCGTTAACTTTATGAATTCTGTATACGATTCCGGTGAGCTGCCTCAAGATTCGTTGAAGTCAACGTTCGTCACTCTACCAAAGAAAACGAACGCCAAGAAATGCGAGGACTTCAGAACAATAAGTCTCATGAGCCACGTGCTAAAGTTATTCCTCAGTATTGTTCATGAACGGATAAGAACCAAGTGCGACGAACAACTTGCAGATAGCCAGTTTGGTTTTCGAGCAGGCGTGGGTACCAGAGAGGCCCTCTTTGCAATACAGGTTCTAGTACAGAAGTGCAGAGACAT